ATATATATATATATCTAGGGGCTGGTTCAAATGTTAACCAAGATTATTGTGTTAACTTTGTTAACCGATCTTGACCATTCAATCTTTCAATAAACGGTTGTGATTAATCATGATAAAAACTTATTTTTTTAAATTTAAAATTTCATAAAGATAAGTGAACAAAGTTGAAAAGGGTATTTAGGTAAAAAATATTATGTAACTCCCATATCATTAATTAATTGGGAGTTACAAAATAAAAAAAAAAATCTAGGATTTTTTTGTTAATTTAAGAACCATATGAACACGACTATATATATATATGAACCATTGTATCAAATACGAATAAAAATTTGACATATATATGAACTTGGACTGCATAGCATTTATAAATACAATATGAACATAATAAGAATAACTGATATACGAAAGGAAATAAATAAAAAAAACAGGTATGAACACGATATGAACAGCTTGTGAACAATAGTTCCTTCATTACAAACACATTCAGGAGCGATCATTTATCAATTGGAGTTTTATACATGCATTGCATCCACACCGTTTAAAGTTCACCCCTTGTTCATATATGTTTCTGATCTTATATGGTTGTTCACCCCTTGTTCATATCGTGTTCACTCCTTGTTCATATCGTATAAAATATATGAACACATAACCTCAACATTATGAACACCGGATGCAAACACTTACATAAATATAAAGATTTGTTATCAAGCTTAAAAAATAACACTTGTGTTCATATGATAGAAAAAGTAACATGAACACAATGGTTCATGATTCATAAAACTCGGTAATATGACAATATGAAAATGGGTCGTGCATGTACTTTCATTTGAACATGTGAATTAGGTACGTATTTTAATAATTAAAGAAAAAAGCTATCAATAGAAGATGAATTATAAAAAACACAACACATCGTAATGAACATAATTTCGATTAAAATGAATCTAAAAAAAATAAAAATCTTTTTACCAAGACATTCGTTTTGGTTAATTTGTTCAATTCCCGACCTCGAACTCTGATTGTTATCATAAACCATTTCAATCTTCTCACTGTTGTCGATTTATTTTCCATTGCGTTTATCCATATTAGCTTGATCGATACCAAAAAATTTTACTACCGTGTTTTCTATGCGAATTAAAAACTAATAAAACAATGAACATGGAAGATCAAGATTAAAAAAAAAAAAAATATTAATATTAATACTATAAATGCATATTTTTTGGGATTTGATGATTTGTAACTCCCCATTAATTGTTTGGGAGTTACATATCAAATCAATTTACTGAAATACCCWTGTAATTAAAATGTGAACATGATATAAATCTACAAGAAAATGAAATTTGATTGGTTGTCATGGTTTTCAAAGTTAACACAAAATTATTGGTTAACATTTGATCTTGCCCCTATCTATATCTATATCTATATCTATATCTATATATCTATATCTCTCTCTCTCTCTATATATATATATATCTATATATATATCTCTATATATATATATATATATCTATATATATAACCGGTACCAATTATTACATCAGAAGTTGACCGATTAGTGTAGTTACATACCGGTTCAATTACAGCCAGTTTCCTTCCTTATCCTCCCAATCCGATAATAGATTCCCTCCCACCAAAAACCGTACCACTCTCAGCTCAGCCATTCTAATGGCTCTCAATGGTGGCCGGATTCTATGCAACACTTCCACCATAACACCATACACCCGCTTACCTTTACACCGGCCGTTCTCTTTCACACACCCTTCCTCAAGAACACCTTTTCACCTAGTTTCAGCCGCTAAGAAACTCTCGTCTAGAACGGGAAAATTCGACAGCAGGAACAAGAGAGGGTCGACGTCAACTACGGAAGATGAATCGTCCGGTGAGTTTAATGATGGTGCAATTGGAACCGTTGATGGGACTGAGGTAGAGAATTTTGATGGATATGTGTTGCCGGACCTTCCCGGACTTGAGCCGGATTTTTGGGAAGGTCCTCAATGGGATGCTTTTGGATTCTTCGTTGAGTATTTGTGGGCTTTCGGCATCGTTTTTGCGGTAATTTCTCTCTTTTAATAGCTCGCAATACCTGAAATTGTCTTCTATTTTGATGAATATGATTCTTAATTTGGTTTATTCGATGAAGATATGAAATCCCCAATTAGGGTTTCAAGTATTTGTATGCATAACTTTTGTCTCCACTCTTGTTAATTAGGTTACCGTTTGATCAAATTTGGGTGTGAATGGAGCTAATAATTTTGAGCTTTGATGAATTATGTTGGTATTTTAAAACTTACGACCACTTTTTATTTTGATCAGCAGAATACTGTTTTTTTACAGTAAATTAAGTATGAATGCCAAGGAATTCATGATGATAAGTGATTGAATACCAAGATCTTCAAAATTGTAATTTCATGGCTAACATTTTGACTTTGTGCCCAAATCGTTTCTTGGCTTGAAGATACATTAGAACCATGAAACCATAGTTGAACGAATATTTGATAATTTGATTACGTATGGAAAGATGAGGATGGAAGGCTTAAATTGAATTCTGCAGCACTGTTTAGGTAAAGGAGATGCCATGCCAAGATTCTTAGGGTAGACATTCTTGATGCAATGCTTCACATCTTTTGCATTTGTGTCCTTAATCGAGTCTTTCTCCCCAAAAACCAGTCGCTTTACTATTTGGGATAAAGGTCATGTCTGCTTGCATAGTTGCATTCCACCCTCCATAGACTCCACCTGTGGGTGGGACTTAATTTGGGTTGGTTTAGTCTTTCTCACTAACAGGCAGCACTTGCAAGTTTGTTTGCGCTCTTTGCTTCTTATGCACCCTCTTTGAGTTCATGTCGACCCTTACCCTGACTATAATTCTTTCTTGAAGACTGGCGTAGTACGTTTATATTGACTTAGCATTGTTGATTACCTCCTTTTAGTCAATTCACAAAAAGGGTTCTGCTAATGTCGAGCCTTTATGTCTTTTTAATGAACCAGTGGTTGGTCGGGTATGACGACCCTACTAGCTCTTCTTTTCCTGTGGGAGCAGACCCTTAAGTTATTCTAGTTTGCCAAACCAAACGGATCCGGTAAATCCCAGTTGGGTCTTTGGGGGGGGGGCGGTTGAGATGTACGCAAACCGAACCTCAATCTCAAATAGTAGAGCACGTGTTTCCATGAGGACCCTTGGCTTGTGCATGAGGGTGAGCAAACATGTAGCCAGAATAGAGATTAGCATATCAAAAGTATTCTAGTTTGCATACTAAAGAAAGTGCAAGATGAATATAAAAGTTCTTGATGAATTGATGTCATGCAAATTTTGTTTGGTTTACAGTTAGTTTCTAGTGGAATTGCTGTGTCAACATATAATGAAGGTGCAACAGATTTTAAGGAGACTCCAGCATACAAGGAATCGATTCAATCAAGGGATTTGTTAGAAGAACCCGAGGCATCCAGTCCGGATGTTTTTGAATCCAACCCTACTGAAGAAGCTCCTACCTTGGAATAAGGAAACAGTCATTTACGTCGAAGCATGGTTGATATTTGTACACTATTTCTGAAAGAATAGCAAACATTGTTTAAGATAATGTAATTTGATGCTAAAACCAATTTCTTGTTCAATGAACGAATGATATAGTTGTGGAATTTACATGTTTAGTTTGAACAACCGTTCATATGTTAGAATTTTCATGTTGCTGGTGTTGGGATTTCAAGTGGTTTTGCGTTTGCTGAATGGTTAAATGATCTGAATGGTTAAAAGGTTTTGTATGATATAGTGTATAATGAAATATGTTTTTTGGTAATTGTTCTAAATAGAATGAAATATGGTTCTTTGGTAATTGTTCTAAATGACCAGTTATCATTCAAAAACAAATTACCATTTTAACTATCAATATGATTTAGTTTTATTTGAAATATAGTTGTTTGAGAAATATTTGAATAAAACAATTACTTTGTAAATATAACTACATACTCAATATTACTTGTTCAAAATAACATTTCATATTTAATTGAAACAAACATAACATTACTTGTTCAAGTAATCAAATTCAACAAAATAGTTTTTTGTACAATTCATGATTTGACGCATTTAACAATAACTAATTCGCAATATGATAACGTAAATTAGTCATGTATTCATTGTTTTGAGTGCCAAAAGGCTTTTTATCCATGACATCTTATCGCCTCCCTCAATTTCTTCTTGTCCTTCGACAATAACATGGGGTCATTGTTGTAATCCATGAATAACTGATCGTGGATATTGTATCTTTTTATAAAATTATGAACCGTGAAACAATCAAATACAACGTTTCTTTGTATTCGGAACGGGTAAGAAGCCATTTGCTTTAAAATTGGAAATATTGCGCTCAGGACATTGTAAGCATGCTCAATAACGTTTATGTGTTGCACATATGCATGGTTGAGCCTTTCTTCTTTTGTCAAGACACGTTGTTGTCGAAAATGAGCTGTCTATTTTATATTATCTCGTGTATACAAGCTTCAAGAAATGGTTGGCCCACACCTTCCTTTTTCCATGGAATCATATATCTCTTTTGGTGTAAAGATTAACCAACTAATTTCATACCTAGTCCAAACAAATTCATACCAAAAATAACAACTAGGTGGTCAAATTAAATCAAAAACGAAGTATGACAAATAATTGAAAAAATCAACATATTAAATTACAGCAACTAGAAGTAAAGCTATACATTTGTGTTTAAGAGTTCAATTCATTTTCATTCTTACATGCCAACCATACACGATCATGGAATGTATCAACTCATTCAATTGCTTTCTCCATTCCATTTCTTTGTCATTCAGTTGCATCCCACCACACAGATCCATCTAGTTTTTGACTTGATGCAACTATTTGGTCCTCCTTGCTCCATTAAGACATGATCATCTTATATCTAAATGTCATCTACTTTTTTATTCTTGTTTATTAATCTTTTATGCTTACCACCAAATTATCATAACCTAGAATCACAATCGAGAAAGACGGAAGTTTAACAAAAAAACAGAATCAGAGAAAAAAACAATCACATATCAAAACCAGGATTATAAACAGTAACAAAATCGAGAGCCAAAAAATAGAGAATCATAGAAGAAATCCATGAATGTCGCTGGTTTCTTATTGTTTCGAACAGAGAAACATAGCAGGAAATGCGAACAGCAAATAACAGCAATCGAACAGAGAGTACCTGAAGATATTTCATACATGAAACAGAGAAATTAGAGCATGAGAGAGTGGCTTCGATTCCTGGAGATCCTGAAGTTGAGCGCGTCAGAGAGAGGAATGAGAGAAAGGGCACTCAGAAAAATTAGGGATAAAAAAAATCACTTGGAGATTCTTACAAGTGTTAAAGAGGTAAACTCTCTTTCTGTACCTTCACCTAATTCACCGACTTGCAGTCACAGTAGATCAAATAGTAATGGTTACGACTATTTCAAGAGTGTTTTTTCCTAGTTAGATAAGATTCGTCTTTTATTGATATAGATGTTGTATTTTAATGGAACTATTAAAAGGTAAACAATCATTTACTCTATTCTTTAAGGTAAACTTAAGTCTACGTATATCTTACCCTCATACCTCACCTCCGGACGAAATATAAATATACAGGGCTTATTTGGTTTGCTTTGGTTTTAGTGTTGTTGGGAGTTCAAGTCCGACATCCATTACGTGAAAAATACTTTGGGATTTGAGTCGTACTTGATTTGAGAAAGAAACCTAAAAGATTTTTTTGCAGGCACAATTGACATGTTTATTTGCACTCTTTTACTTATCATGCACATGTTAGCATCATATTGTTTTTAATCCATTCCACATTTCATGGGACGGTTTACAGGATTCTTTTGCATGGTATCATAGCAAGCTCAAGATGCATGTTGATACTTTGATTCGATATATTGAGCCACTTTTTAGCGTCAATAGTCTTCATATGGCTAGCTACACATTGATGGGCATTGTTAAAATTAAAGATGTGCATGGATCGGTTTACAGGATTCTTTTGCATGGTATCATATCTGGACAAGGTTGACCGGACTTCAAATCCGGCCAATGTTGTGTGGATTATCTTTTATTTCGATTCGGTTTGGAGATGAAATGGCGGTGTAACCGCGAGAGAGATGAAATGGCTGTGTAACCGCGAGAGAGATGAAATACTTATATCTGTACAGGTTTGATTCTAAACTGTTGGTTTGGAAAGTATATTGTTTGTGTGAAATATGTGCACTCAATAGACCTATTGGGTCTAAAACTCAATTGTTGGACTAACCTGTTTTGTAGGTCATCATACCGCGCAAGATAAAGGAAAAGGAAAAATTTAGAATTGATGAAGTTAGTTGCTCATAAATGTATTGAAGAAAGTTTTTGTTAACCCGTATTTTTGTATACAATACTATAATTTTGTTTTATGAGAATGTGTATGTGGATTATCTGTTCACTGAAATTGTGAGTTGTTTCCGTTGGTATCAGAGCCTTAGTTTAAGGGATCTGAGTATTTGCGAAATACTTAGACTTAAACTAAAAAGTGTGGAAGTTATGATAATAGGTTTCACTGGGGCTATGAACATGGAGAATATGTTATAGTTGAACCTATTATGAGAAATATAGATTATATATGACTGATATAATCTGAGTTATGAATAGACTTGAGGATAAATGTGTTATTATGTTTTGATTATGTGAATAATCATATGTGTTTAAATGTACAGAAAGAGACATACATTGAAAATGGCAGATAATCCAAATCAATCGGAAAGGACCTCTACCGGTTATGGAAGAGGTCGGGGAAGAAGAAACGTAACACTAGGAGAGGACCTAGAACATGTAATGACAATAGAAACACGAAGTCACAGCAGGGGTCGAGGAAGAGGTAGAGGTGCTAGACAAGAAACTCATGGGGAACAGAAATTGTCGGCCCAAGAAAGTTCAATGTCTGGCCGTGGTAGAGGAAGAGCAAGGGGTGGACACAATGTTTCTAATCCCGGATTTATAACATAGGAAATGCTGGCAGCTGAATTAGGAAAATTTCAAGAAAGCTTGGTAAATTTGTTGGGACATTCGGGTCTAAATCATCTAGAAATTTTGAGGGAACCTGATCAGCAGGAAGAAGCCGGAATTAGTACCCCGGTAACTGGTACATTTGTACCCCTTACTTCGTTCTCAGTACAAAAAGGAGGAGATATCAAGATGTTTCTTGCTTGTAAACCTCCCAAGTTTTCTGGTGAGCGTGATCCTGTTAAAGCTATGTGTTAGCTTAAAGAGATAGAGCTAAGTTTGCAAATCAGTAAAAGTGCAGAAGAAGACAAAGTCATGTTTGTTGTATCTCGTCTGAGATCAAGTGCTTTGTACTGGTGGGAAGTTCTGTCCAGTTCAGATCCGAATATTTTGGAAACTATGCTCTGGGAAGAATTTGTGGTTAAGTTTAAAATGCAGTATTGTCCTGAAGCTGCAGTACGAAAGTTGGAAGATGATTTCCTTCGTCTTGAGCAAGGAAACATGTCAGTYCGCCAGTATACAGAAGTTTTCATGGAACAATCTMRGTTYGCTGAAGCYTATATYATATCTGAAAACARTAARGTAAGAAAGTATATWTGGGGRTTRGAGTCGAATCTTCGGAAATATGTRATATCCAGGAATCYGAYAACATTTCAAGCGGCAGTCGATGCWGCTGAAATWYTGGAGCAAGAYATTAACCGACAACCACAAGAAAAGGTTGGTGAGAAAAGAAAGGGGGAAAYYACAATGACYGATTTYCRTAGACCAAGGTTWATGGAAAATWTGAATCGACCAGTCTCAAGGTTTRYTGMYAGRGCGTGTMCCYGATGTCATAAAATACATCAGGGAARTTGYAATACAGAATCTCGAGTATGTTTTAAATGTCAGGAACCAGGACATATAGCTCGAGACTGTCGGATGACGCAGAGGTGTTTTACTTGTAATTCATCTTAACATGTAATTGCCAATTGTCCGCAAGCAAAGGGTCGAGGGTATGGTTTTTTTTGGAGGTCGGGGATCTGGATATTCTGGGGGTCGAGGACCTGGTTTTGTGCCAACAGGTCGTGGACAAATTGAAAATCGTCATTCAAGTGGTCGAGGAGAGATAAGACGTAAGGAGTCTGCAAGAGGGAGCGCCTTTCAGATGACGAGAGGCGAGGCAGAAGAGCCCCCTAAAGTGGTAACAGGTACATTCCTTGTTAATTTAGTATATGCCAAAGTTTTATTTGATTCGGGTGCAAATCGTTCTTTTGTGTCACCGTCATTTGTTAACTGTGCACAGTTAGAATCTAAAGCATTAAGTGAGGATTTAATTTTGGGAACGACAAATGATAGTGAAGTTTTGGTTAAGGAAAGAATAGATGAATGCTTTATAAGTATAGAAGGATGTAAGGTGCCTATACAATTATTTCCTTTGCCTTTAAGGGAATTTGATATAATTATAGGCATGGATTGGTTAGCTAAAAACCAAGCCAACATAGTTTGTGATGAGAAGATGATCCATATAGACTTACCGAAAAAAGGAAAGGTTGTGATTTATGGGGATCGATGGGATCGTTACTCTGGCCTTATTTCAATTCTAAAGGCTAGAAAGTATGTACAAAAAGGATGTGTTAGTTTTCTTGCATATGTTATAGATATGAAGAAAGAAAAGGGAAAGATGGAAGATATCCCAGTAGTGAGAGAATTTCCTGAAGTGTTTCCAGAAGAT